TGGAGCTGACATGTACTCTTTGTTTTAATTAATGACGCCATTTCAGGCAACTACCTCAGCTTCCATCCAGCAAGTTACTTCAGCTCAGGACCATGCAGATGAAACAGCTCTTCAAGACGATGCAGTTTCCAGGACACCACCTCCTAAAAGTAGTTCTCTTAGTTCCTCTGCACCACAAACACCAGCTGCAAGCCATGCAACTCCTGTCACTGCAAGTTGGTCGACAATAACTTTGCTGGTTTCTGACTTCCTTTCCGATCTTTTGTCTGAAGTTAATAATTGTGCTTTTGGAAACTCAGGTGCCACCAGTGTTTCCTCTCCGGTAGCTGTTCCGGGTGCTGCAAGGGAAGAGGAAATTACCAACTTCTCTGGACGTAAGCCATCACCAGCTCTTGCTGAGTAAGGGCTATTGGTAGAGGTGTCTTTCCTAGTCAATTGACACCTAACGTCCCTGCAAGCTCTGGAAACACAGTTTCCAGCATTGGAGCCATGTCTTTGGCTTCTGAATTCGGAAAGAAAAATATTTTGGGTTTTGATGACCGGGGTAGTGGTATGGCGCAGTCTCCTGTGTCCTCTATAAGTAGTAGAGTAATCTTGCTACAGGCTGCGAAGGCTAGTGATGGACTTGAATCGGCTGATACTGAAGTTGTTGGCGATGCTGCAACTCTGGGCAGCAGAGTTTTTACTTCTCTTGTGGTTCCGGGTATTCAATGGAGACCTGGAAGTTCCTTCCAGAACCAGAACGAGGCAGTATGTCAGTTGTTCTGTTTCCTTATTGTTTAATAAGTTTAGGTTTGTGAGTGCTTTTATGTGTAGTGCTGTTGGTGCAACTTCCATAAAATTCAATTTAAAGATCATAATTTCATAAAAACAGTTTATGTTGTTCATGTTGGCCCAATTAATCTACTCTATGCTTCTTGTTCTGTTCATGTTGGCCCAATTAATTCACTATCTTCCCTATTTGAAAATGAGTTGATTATCTGTATCTCTAGGGGCAGTTTCGTGGAAGAACTGAGATTGCTCCTGATCAAAGGGAGAAATTTCTACAACGATTTCAGCAGGTACAGCAGCAAGGCCAGACTAATCTTCTTAATATGCCTTCTCTTGCTGGAGGGAAGCAGTTTTCTGCTCAGCCACGGAACCTACTCTTACAGCAGGTGCTATTTCCTAATTTTTTCATTGATTACTTTCCCTTTGGGTAACTGAATGAAGTCCAAGGTCATAATGCTAGGTTAACAGATTTTGGTGCATCTCTGGATATATCATAAGTACTCTTATGGCAGTAGAACCTAACTTGTCGATAGTGTAAAATTTGTATTGGTTTGGGCTGTGGTCTGTGTATGGGAAACTCCACTTGCAATCTGCTTTGTGATAACCTGTGGTATTAGCATACTCCTCATCCTCTCAGGATCCCTCACTTCCACAATAACAGGAAAAGAAAAATAATGGAACTAAGAGTGGTTATAATCTTGTGGCTTGTATATCCCATTTACTTCTAACACTTCAAAGTTCATATGAGTGCTAGAAAAGGAGAAAAAGCCTGTAGAAGAACTCTAATGGTGGGTGGTAAACTATTATATTTTGATATTCTCTGTTTGCTATGGCATATTTTGTAGAATATTATGATCTCTGTCCCACTTGTTTAGTAAATTCAAACTTATTTTCACTTGTTGTAACCCCTCTCAGTTCAATGCTCAAAGCACATCTCTCTCTCCTCAACTTGGGTTGGGGATTGGACTCCAAATTTCAGGTCTTAGCGGTGTTGCAACATCTGCTTCGCTGCTGCCGCAGCCAAGTGCGACCCACCAACCATCAAACAGCAGCCAATCATATTGCAAACATCTAAGGATGCAGGTAATGTTGTTCGGTGACACCTCTTTTGAATCTGTTTGACTGATATGTACACTACGTGTATGCTGAACCCTGGAATAATCCTTAATATTAATTTTTTCACTGACATATAGTTACATAATAAAGGAAATTTGTGTGATACTTTGGAACTAGTGTTTTGAACATTATTGAGTTTAATTACAGTTGCCTCCATTTTACAAACCGCCTATCAATAGGAGGATATAGGAGGAGGTTTGTTAGGTAATAGCATAATTGAAGGGGGTATTTGTAACATTATCATGCAGTATCTGCAATTGCAGTAGAAAACTTGTGGTTTTGCATTTGAAACTGATTTCAAATCTAGCCTTTCGTGTTACTACTACTAATGACGGATGAGTTTTCTAAGCTTGCATATAATTAATGAAATTGTATGTTTTCACAGCACGTGATGTTTCAGAAAATGGTAGACATCCCATGATGCAATTTTCTGGTTTCATAACTCAAATACCCAATGGCCAAATCTTGTACATGGACAGAAACTGGGCTCACAAAAGTTGAGGAATTGCTGCAGCAACAGCCCATCATTGAAGATGCATCCACAGATTCTGGTTCCAACACTGGGCCTGGGAAAAACCTCGTGCAAGAAGATGAACTGAAAACTTCTTACCCTTTAGATAACGCGGTATGTATAAGTTTTTTATTGTGCTTCCTCCTTGTTCTTGTAAAATCATTTGACGGAAAATTTGAAGGTTGGAGGTATAAACTTATTATTTGGGTTGATTGGTGTATGGAATGTTTGATCTCTTAAAATTTGTATCCATAGTATGTGCGCCTTAAGTAATCCACCCATTCATCTGCACTTTGATAAGGCACTCTAGGATGAAGATAACTGCATGAATGATTATTGGACTTCTCAATCATCCATCCAGTAATCTTTGTTTCATTGTGTTTCAGTCAATTGATATTTTCGGTATCGTCATTTCATTCAGTCTTTGTACACTATATGAAACCTGTTTTATGTTTTGCAATAATACAAGCAGGCCACTGATGCTGCTGGTTCACTTGTTGAACCTTCACAAGTGATACGAGAAACAGACCTATCCCCAGGGCAACCTTTACAGCCAACTTCATCTTCTGGAAGCCTTGGCTTTATTGGTCGGCGAAGTGTATCTGACCTTGGTGCTATTGGAGATAGCATCAGCCCTTCAACTGCAAATTCTGGAGAAATGCATGATCAGTTATACAATTTGCAGATGCTCGAGGGTGCTTATTTTAGACTTCCTCAACCTAAAGATTCTGAGAGAGCAAGGACCTATACTCCAGTAAGCAGCTCAAAGAGCCTAGTTTGTTTCTCTAACTATTTATTTCTTCACTGTTTCAATGTTGGTTTTGGCAATGCACAGAGGCACCCTGCGATCACCCCTCCAAGTTATCCTCAAGTACAGGCACCTACTGTCAATAATCCAGCCTTCTGGGAGCGGCTGGCACGGATACACTTTTCTTTTCATTTTATTTTCAACAGGTTATTTGAAAGTTCATCCTCTTGCGTATTCTGCAAGTTGTAGTAATTCAGTGTTCTTGGTCTTGTTCTGATGCTGACACTTACGTGCAGAATACTTACCAGCAATATTTGGCTGCTAAGAAATTGAAAAGGCAGTCTTGGAGATACCACAGAAAATACAACACATGGTTCCAGCGGCATGAGGAACCGAAAGTTGCCACAGATGATTTTGAACAGGGGACTTATGTTTACTTTGATTTCCACATTTCCAACGATGAACAACACGGATGGTATGGCTTCTTATCTCCAAGCTCCATTTTCCTGCAACTCCATCTTTGTGATTACCCTTCCAGATGATGAATATGCTTACTTCTTGTATTTCTCTATCCACCTTTTCTTAATCGACACTTTTGCATGCCCTATATTGGACTGGAAATTTTTTATGGGTCATTATTCCTGTTTACTTATACACCATTATTATTTGAAACTCGTAAGATATCTTGGCGAATTATGTTAATAGTTTTACATTGTACTAATCCGTAGGCTGTGGAAATGGTTGAATATTAGGAAGTTAATTCAGTTATATCTTTCTTTTTCACTTAAATAATCAGTTAGTTCACTTAGTTGTCAGTTAGCATCACCAGCGTAGCACGTTCCTACTGTTAACTAACTGGACTGATGACATCTCCACTATGTTGACTTGCTGTTTTCATTGACATGTGATGTGAACTCCTACATAATGGTGCTTTTATCTAATTTAAATGTTGTCCCTGATTTTTTTTTTTTTTTAAAGTGATTCAAGTAATGAACATGTGTAAATTATGACCTTGTTGATATGCACTTGGCAGTTTAGTCAGTCAATTACCAGTGTATCATCACTGGCAACTACAATTTTATTAACTCCAACTGGTAGTTCCATCTGTTTCTGATTATTGACTGTTTGATGCTTCCATGCAGCCATGCAGGTGTCAGAGAATCAAGACAGAGTTTACATTTGAGTACAGTTATCTTGAAGATGATTTGATCATATAAAAATGTTTCCTTTCCCCTCACTATAAACCCTGTCTACCTTCTGCTGGTGCTTCAGTTCTAAAATTCTTCGAGATATCACCCTCTTGTTAAGTAGTGGTGTGCACTGCAAATGTCATAAATTGGCATTCAATCTGCAATTTGGTGCCTACCCTGACGTTTATGTTGGGCATCAAGAGTTGCAGTTTGCTTGTTACTAGTTGTTATGGGCTGACTTAGTTATGTAATTTTTTTGTATATAAGTTTAAGCTTGCTAGTAACAGAAATGGAGGAAATTGAGAGAGAAGAAATGAGGAAGATGGGTAGGGAGAGGGAGAGATTATGACTGTGCCAAATTTTTCTGTTTCATTACAAATTTCCCTTTACATAACAAACCATGGACTTTCCCAAACAATTCCCAATATACCCTAATTAGATACTTAAAAGTAAAGAACAGCAAAATAACAAACTGGGCTATACTATGGGCCATTACATATAAATTAACTAATTAATTTCTCCATTTGGGCCTCACTTAAAACGATCTTCATACGGCCCGTTTGCTCTTAGCCCGATAACTTATCTGAATTAGGATCTTCACCTTCTTTAGCTTGTTCGACCTTGTTGACAGTCAAAACACCTTCATTCCCATTTCCGACGATCGAGACACCATCCTCCTCGTCTCCGGCCATAACAATACCCCCGGGTTGAGATGATCCTTGTCGGCAAGGATCAAAAGATGGAAACATTTGCAACCAGGGCAACATACCTTGATTACATGCGGCCAAATCTTGCGAACTCCTCGCATAAGGTGCGAAACCTTGAAACATTTGCAACCAGGGCAACATACCAATTTTGTTTTCAATCCAGTCATGACATCCGCAATTTGATAATTCCTTAATAAACCCTCCCTAAACCCTCCAGCACACTAATAATCATAGAAGAAAGCTATGGAAGAAAGATGGTGAACAGACATAAAACCAACGCAAAAACAAACAAACTATTCTTCTTATAAACAAAATCTTACATATAAAATCCTAAACAAATCAAGCTCAAACAAAAGAAATATTTTAGTGCACGCCATGTTCCAATATTAAAAAAAAAAAAGTAATAATGAAGCTCAACTGACTCGATACAATTTTTACATTACAAAACAATAAAAATGTCAAGTTCAATAGAGTTATAGAGGTCTTGGCTATCTCTAATGAAGTTGAACAGTTGCATATAGAGTTCACGAGTTCCATGTAATCTGTTTCTCTTCTCAACGTTTTATACCAACTCCATCCCACTGCAGTTACTCTCAAGACTAGAATGGTTCTCATCAAGGAACTACACTTTCTAACAATTGTTCCACTTGGGCTATTTGATCTGCAAATGTTCCGCTTCAGCACTCGAATTCTTGGGCTATTTGATATGCAAATGTTCCACTTTGACACTTGAATTCGAACCGATAGCATTGCTAATCATATAGTGATAAATCAAACTGATAGCACAACAAAGGACACGAACAAAGAAGAAGAGAATGTTACAAGTCATAGAAGATTTCTTATTTCAAATCAGAGAAGAAAAGGAACCGAAAGAAAGACAACAATACTTTCCGCCTGAAAAGAAGAAGCTTGCTCTTCCGACCCAACCGGCGTGCTATTCCTTCCGCCCTGGTTCAGGGCTAGTTTAAATAAAGCACTAGCCCGAGTCTTACGCAGTTCAAAAGGGCTTTAGCGGCTCTTCTCCTCAACCTGTTCAATTGGAGCTAGCTATAGAGCGCACTTTTTCTATGCTTTTATTTAAAGCTAGATCATCTCATATAAAAGTTAGATAACAAGAATCATCTCATATATAATGCTCTATTGAGAGAATATTCTCAATAATAGACCATTCTGCAAAATTTCTTTCTTTGTACCTATAGACCTTTAGCATGCATACAATATGTGCAAAACAAATGAATCAAATCTCATCTCCAACTATATATGGCCCTAAAATTACATATCTCGACAGAAAAGGGTGGAGAAAGCCAAGATTTGTTTAACCCAACTCACCCCAGTGCGGCAGAATTTTTGAATTCAATGTTATTAGCCAAGAAAGAATGCATTTTTTTTTCAGTTCAATGTTGAACAGCGATGAATAATTTGTGGGAATGATATAATAAGTTCTAACCTTGCCCTGTGGAATGATTGAAATTAAAGGTACGGTATAGAAGTAAAAAGCCAAGATATTGTTTACAACCCCAACCAACCCAACTCACACCAAATCAGGTAAAGAAGCAAGCACAAAGTGAAGATATCGTTTACAACAACAACAACAACAACAACAAAGCCTTTTAGTCCCAAACAAGTTGGGAATCATTTTTTTTTTAACAGTGAATAACTTGTGGGAATGAAATTATAAAATTGATGCTATTATTATGCATTTTAAATCCCAAGCTTAAATGCATTAGTGAGTTTTCGAATTCAAAGAGAGATAAAAGGCTGTGCATAAGAGAATTTTTGGAACAAAAAGAGAAGTAAATTAAATAAACGAAAAGAAGATAAAACAGAGAGTTTTCAATAGAAAAGCCCGCGGAGCCATCATCGCCGCCGCCAATTGGCGGAAGGCTCCGGCGGCAGGCAGTCTTCATAGCAGTAGAAGCAGAGAAAGATGGACGGACGGTGAACGGCGACAAACCAATTCAGTGAACAGAAATGAAAATTGGAGCCTCCGGCAGCCCGATAACGGAGGGTGGCATCCTCTGATCATATTCACAATCGCTGAAAATTGGTTCTGACCCCATTACCAGGTCCACCTTCCCACCGCCTATCTCTGCTCAGATAAGATCAAGTAGTGTTTTTGAGGAGGCCCATCGAGCCTTTCGTATTTATAGTCTTCCCAAATTTCCTCCGCGGTCGCTTTTTCAAATTCCAGAAACACCCTTTCAGATTCTACACCACAACCGTGTCCCCAGGGCATTTATGTAAAGGAAAAAATATTGCTTTGGGGGTGAAAACCCTAATACTAATCCCTAATCAGTCCGTGTCCCAACCTCAAGTCTCTCCCATTTGCTCTCTCTCTCTCTCTCTCTCTCTCTCAGGTGAGTGCTTTTCGTGTATGTGTTTATATGCTGCTGTTAACTCATATAACTTGCGATGATAGTTACTTTATATGGAGTTGGATTTTGCCTCTTTTATTATTTTAACATAATAATAGCTTCACAAAAGAGTTGTGACACCATTTCAAGAAAGATACTGTGATAAAGCCGTCTCTTGGTTATAAGTTAGATAGCAAGAATCATGTGTTTGCATTACATTGGAACGTTATGTACATATAATAGAATGTTGTATTCGTCAAAAGAACAGAGAGAGTTTACTCAATAATAAACCATTCTGCAAAATTCCTTTGTACCTATAGAGCTTTAGCATGCATACAATATCTGCAAAACAAATGAATCAAATCTCATCTGCAACTATATATGGCCCTAAAATTACTTACTTCGAAAGACAAGGGTGGAGATGCCAACCTTGTCCGCAGATAAAGACAAGATTTTTGTTTAACCCACTCACCCCAATGCTGCAGAATTTTTTGAATTCAATGTCTTCAGCCAAGAATGCATTTTTTTTTTTTGTCTTTTTGGTAGGAATGATATAATAAGTTCCAACCTTGTTCTGCTGAATAAATGAATGAAGTTAAAGGGTACAGTAAAAAAGCACAAAGCCAAGATTTTGTTTACAACCAACGCACCCCAAAGCAGCAGAATTTTTCGCATTCAGTGCTAATCAGCAAGCATTTTTTTTTATTATTAATATTGAATGCTAATTACATTCTTATTTTGTTTCAGGGTTGTTATAATGGCAGAGCCCTCAAAAGTCATTCATGTTCGTAACGTGGGTCATGAAATCTCAGAGGTATAATATCTTCATTGACCAATGAGGACTTCATAAATATTTCAGAATTCGAAATGAGTCTTTTTAATTTCCATATCTTGTTGCCATCCTTGTATGAATGGTGATGTGATCAACTAACTTGGAAATTTGAAACTTTAATATATAAAATATAAATACTTTGATCATATTACCCCTTCATATTATATTGTATGCAGACAACGTTCAAGCATCAATGCTTTTTGATAGAGTTTATTGGTTGCATGACATCCTAAGTACAATCTTTGATCTATTGTGTTCATCTTCAGAATGACTTGCTCCAGCTTTTCCAGCCATATGGGGGGGTCAACAAGCTTGTTATGCTTCGAGCAAAAAACCAGGTTATTTTCTTAAAAATATGTCATAGGCGTTGTACAATGTCATCATACATAAATGTGCGGTGATGTAGCTTATATCAAAATTGCAGGCTCTCGTCCAAATGCAAGATATTCCTGCAGCAGTAAATGCATTGCAATTTTATGCTAATGTTCAACCGAGTATAAGGTTTCTGGATAGATGGTGTTGCCTTTACGTTTCAGCTTTTCATCCATATTATGAGAGTACTACTTTCATGTTTGTGGCATTATCTAATTGTTACTGGAATTTTTTACTGGAAGGGGACGGAATGTTTATGTTCAGTTTTCATCACATCAAGAACTAACAATTATGGATCAGAATGCTCAGGCACGAGGAGACGAGGTAACTGTTATGCAATTGTCAGTTGTATGTTAACTTCAATAATTCTTATGCAACAAGCTGTATTAAAGTTTGTATTTGATGAGTTCTTTCTTGTTTGGGTAATGTGGATATTATGCGCAATATATACAAGTTAGATGTAAAAGAAAATGGAAATTTGGGGTGTAAGATGTTATGATGAAATCTAGTATATATTCCTCCCTTTTCTCTTGTTTGCCATAGTTCTTAGGTCCGAACCTGTAGAACTGGCTCCTTCCTTCATTTCTCTCTCTCCTTTTACTATATTTTTACCATAAATAAACCCACTTAGTTGAATATATTGGACATGTGTCAATTATTTTGTCTGTTAGTTTAGTCATTTGTGTTATTAGACTATCTAGCTTATATATAAAGAGGAATTTCTGTCTTTTTCCTTAATGCATGTGTAAATTGTGTTGAATTATCTTTGAACTTCAAAACCATTTTATCTTGAATCCCTTTTTGATATTTGTGTCACGCAAGCAAATTAAGTAAAACCAATGTAAATATAATAACTGCTAAGAAAGCATATGGCATAAAAAAATCGTGGCATAAAAGAATCTTAAATATTTGAAAGCTTCCTCATTTTCTTTTTCTTTTTTATTATTATTTTTTTTTTCTTTTTCTCTTGAAGGAGTCTTGCATCAATTTTCTTTGGTGATTGGAAATCATCAACCTTTTTATCCCATTCTTGACTTGGTAACTTTTTTCTTTTCTTTTTTTTTTTAATTTGGTTGCGCATGTGTTCTTAGTTTGCTTCATAATAGATGTTGCATGATGTGATGATACATCTCTCCCGAGGCCCTCAATTTCATGCTCTTTGTATATGTATTGTTGTGTGTTTCCATTTTCAGTGATTGCTTGCTGCCTATTCTAGTCCCATCTATCCGTTTTCTTTTGTCTTTCTGTATTCTTTTCTATTCATTTCCTTGTCCTCTCTCTGCTGTTTCTGTGCTGGTTTGCTGTTGGGGTCTTCTCTCTCTGTTCTGTATGTATGCTGGTCTGCTGTTCGGCTGCCTCTGGATATCAAGCCTAACCGAATCCTTTTAGTTACGATACATCACATGCTCTATCCTATAACTGTGGAAGTGCTACATCAAGTTTTTTCTCCTCATGGGTTGGTAGAGAAAATTGTCACCTTTCAGAAGTCGGCTGGTCAGCATCTCCAAATTTTCTCCTCTTTCTTTCTTAATTTTGATTCTGGTTGAGGTTACAAAGAATGTATAGACATAGTGTCTACCTTTATGCTTGCGAGTCTTTCACTTCCATCATTGTAATTGGTGATTGTTTTTGCTGTTTGTTTCCATGTATGAGATCAAATCCTCTGACCTAGTCTACGAAATGCATTATTACTGTCAGGTTTTACTGATACGCTCGTGCTGCAACTTGTGTAGGTTTTCAAGCTCTTATTCAGTATCAATTGCATCAGAGTGCTATTTCTGCAAGAAACTGTCTGCAGGTGTACTTAGTGTTGAACTGTTATTTTGGCTCAGTTATCAGACATTGAGACCAAGTTTTAACCGTCTTAATTTACAGGGACGTAATATTTATGACGGTTGCTGCCAGCTAGACATTCAATTCTCAAAGTGGGTTAACTTAAAGGAGTTTGGTGCATTTACGTATTTACCATGTTCTGCATTCTTCTTGCTATTGTCTTGTAGTTACCATTACTTTTATTTCTCCAGCCTTGATGAATTGCAAGTGAACTACAATAATGAGCGCTCTAGGTATGCTAACAGGTTAAATGTCATGTTGTTTCATTAGCGTGGTGCATTTAAGATTGCTAATTTCGTTCTCTTCTCGGTTCAGGGACTTTACAAACCCTTCCTTGCCTTCAGAACAGAGGGGCAAATCCTCTCAAGTAAATGAGAACTTCTTTTGCACAATATGACTTTGTTTTGCTTTTCCAGTCATTGAGACTTTTCTAATTGTGTATGCCTATTCTGTTCCTTTATGACAGCCTGCGTATGGAGATGCAAGCATGTATGCCCATGCAGGTGCTTAATTAACATATTATTATTGCTTATGGTTGTTGGTTCCTCTTTATCTAAACTTTCTGACCTTTTTCTCTCTGTCTGTCCATATCTCTCTCTCTCTCTCTCTCTCTCTCTAGTTGGATTCCCTCAGGTGCGTTCGTCGTTGTATGTTAGCGCTCAAACTGATGTAACAATCTGTAACTGTCACAATCATCAACCATAACAAGGACATGATGCAATTCCTAATCGAGTAGCAACGTCACTTTTTCAAATTTCTCTTCAAGGAATTTATCATGGCAAATTTTTATTTATTTATTTATTTTATCGTTGTTTGTAAAGATTTATGTCCTTGCAGTCATTTCTTTGCAGGTATGACTAATTTTGCTCATCTTTTGTATATGAAGCACAAAATAATAGACACAGTATTCTGTGGTGTTTGATCGGACATAGGTTGCGTAATGTTCTATTTATTGAAACGAGGAAGGGTAGACATAAATTAACATTTACTAGTTTCTATTGTTCAATGAGGGGTTGTATATATAGTTTATTTTCCCATATGTCTTATTTACTCCTATTCAAAAGTTACCACTTGGGTAAACTCATTTTGCACTATTTTGAATGCACCCTCTTCAAATTGTTTCTTATTTTGCCAAAAATGGGGCTACTTTCTTAAGGGACCTCTATCTTTTTTAAAATAATATTCTTGTGTTGTGTTTAATTGTAGATGGGCAATGTGGCGGCTATTGCTGCTGCATTTGGGGGAAGCTTGCCACCTGGTATAACTGGTGCAAATGATAGGTGCACTATTCTTGTATCTAATTTGAATCCTGACGTAAGTTTCAATCTGTTACTCTCACATTGAGCACATCTCTCTATCAACCCAACCCAACCAAACCCCGCGAATTTGTAGCAATCAACATTGAAACTTTGCTCAAACGTTGCTCACTCCTTTGCTACGTTCTTTTGTTTTTGGCAGAGAATAGATGAGGATAAGCTTTTTAATCTATTCTCGATATATGGGAACATTGTCAGAGTCAAACTGCTTCGGAATAAACCAGATCATGCGTTGGTACAAATGGGTGATGGCTTTCAGGCGGAGTTGGCTGTACACTTTCTAAAGGTTAAATGACTTTTTTGTCTTTTTGCTGGTTTACTATTGTGAAAGGCAATCTCAACCATTAACAATGGCATGAATATATATATATAAATATAATCTGAAATAACAGTCCGTGTATAGGAGTGACAGAAACTGACTAAACAAAAAAAAAGGTAGCAAACACCTTTGAAATTTTAATGCCATAAGTTACTCTTACAGTCCACAAATTCTCAGTTGGACATACTCTTACAATCATCCCCCAGTCATTAATTAAAGTAGGTGAAAATGGGAAACTTGCTGGAGTTGAATGATCTTAACTTATTTGATAGTTGGTGCTGTAGTTCGTTGAAATTAGGACGCCTTTGAATAGTGTGTGTTTCCTTTTGCTGATTAATAATAATAGTCGAGAATAAATTTGTGGCACTTTTCAATATAGGGTGCCATGTTGTTTGGAAAACGTTTGGAGGTGAATTTCTCAAAGCATCCGAAGATAACTACTGGAGCGGATACCCATGAGTACCTCAATTCAAATCTTAACCGTTTCAACCGAAATGCGGCCAAGAATTACCGTTATTGTTGTTCGCCAACCAAAATGATCCACATCTCCACTCTCCCACAGGATGTTACTGAGGAGGACATAATAAATCACCTGGAAGAGCATGGAACAATTGTTAATACTAAACTCTTTGAGATGAACGGAAAGAAGCAGGCTCTCGTCCTTTTGGAAAATGAAGAGCAGGCTACAGAAGCACTTGTGTGCAAGCATGCTACTTCCTTAGGCGGCTCAATCATTCGGATTTCCTTCTCTCAGTTGCAAACCATATGAGAGATGGATTTGAAAAGAGGTGCGGAGACTTTGACCATATGATTTTCGTCCACAACCCAATTCTTACTTGTGTTTTATGTTTTTACCATCCATCCTTCCTCCATACATGTACGACGAGTTTTCCTTGCAAATTATTCCTGCCTTTTCATAGTTTGGAAAGAACTGAATCTTATACGAAGTTTGCTTCATTAGTCTGGGTGATAAATCCCTTTTTATTTCTTTAAATTATGAAGATTAAATAGACTGCTTCAATTTTGCATTTCGTATATTCTTGCATTAAGTGTATATACACATGTATTCGTACATTTCTGGTTTTGGTTGCTTTTTGCATTTCATATATTCTTGCATTAAGTGTATGTACACTGGTGTTGGAGATGGATGATCTAATCATATAATTTTCTGATTCTTGCTTAGGACATTGTGAACCTGCCTTTTTCGTCATGCTCCCTATCAGAAGTAACCGGCTGCGGATTGCACTGTGTGCATACAGTGACTGCACTGTAATTCTGTAACCGATTTTCGTTAATTTAGTTTCTTGTCCTTTTTGAATTTTGTAATAATTTCATGCTATCACTGACTTTATACATTGGAACCGTCTTTATCGTGACAGTATATTTAGTAAACATGTCCATTTTGTTTTGGTACAGAGGATCAACTGAATGTTTTGGTATTGAGGATCGAACTTTAACATTGAGATCAGATACTTTGAGGAAGTCAATCAACTTTAAAAAAAAAAAAAATGAATGATGCTAACATGTAATAAGTGAAACTGTAGAACATGTCCAGTATTGAAGAGAAGTTGGAGGAATAATTATTTTAATAGCTATGTAATGTAATGGTAACATCATCGTTTTGTTAAGTCAACATTCTCCGGTTGAGTGTCTTTGCTAAACTTATTATTGTAAATGGAAATAAAAATTGTCGTGCTATGTTGATTAGATAGACCATGGTACTAAGCTGAGCATGAAACTAGAAGAATTTCGAACGGTTCTGAAAATTGAACTGAAATCACTCTTAACCGTTTGACTTTCTCCGAATCCCGAACCGAAAAAATAATTGGTACGGTTCTACATATTTCATAAATATCTGTACCGAAAATCAAACCGAATCGTCTCATACCGTACCGAACCAAATGACCGAATTATAACATTAGATTTGTTAGTAATATATTTTATGTCAACTTTGCTCCTATATAATATAGTAATAGCTATTAATCTTCACTTAAATTTCATGCTTAGTAATACTTGATTTACAATTGAATTTTTTCTATTATAAAGTAATTATTTAAAATAACTATATTTTGTTTGAATTTTAAATTTTCAATATTAGTTGCATATATTTAGTCTTAATTAAAATTTAGAGTTACTTCTAAAATTGATTTCAAAATAAAAACTTTAATATGAGAAAGTATTGATGAATGTTGGTTTTATTAAAGCATATAAAAATTAAATAACTAAAATTTAGAGTTATTTCTTTCGGTTTTGCTATGAAGCCAATAGTTCGCTCCATAGTGGAGCCAACCTTCTAAATACAACAAGTAAACTAATAACTTTATTAATATGGTATGGTTTACTTGTTGTATATATAAGGTTGGCTCCGCTATGGAGTCAATTGTTGTCTTCATAGCAAAAACGTACTTCTAAAATTGATTTCAAAATAAAATCTCAATATGATGAATTATTGATGAATGTTTTTTTTAAAGCATATAAAATTTAAAATATAACTAGGCAGTCATTCAAAAAAAATTGAAAAAAAAAATAAGAAATCTCTGAAAATCCGAACCAAACCATACCTAACCGAATCGTCCCAATAATCCCAAATATCGAAGAGAATCGAACCGAAAAATAAAAAATTTCGAACTGAACCGAACTGGCCTTTTGGTACGGTTTCGGGGATCGAATTTTGGGCTCTCCGAATTTTGGTACGGCTCCGGAGATTTATCAATATCTGAACCGTACCGACCCACGCTCACCCCTAATTTCAACGCTGACAGTTTCTTCTCATGATTTCTTATGTTATGACAATCAATAAGAGTCAAAATCAGTCTGTCGCACATCGACTTACTCCTGAAGAGCCATGTATTCAGTCATTAGTGGTTGTACGTAGCTCTTTTAGTCACAAGTCGAAGGCATTTGAAAATAATAATTTGTGGCCATTAGAATCTTGACATTAAGAAAATCACGAATGTTATATGTAAAAAAATATTTAATAATATTTAAATATATTTTTTTAGATTATTTTTTCATTGATTAAGTTGTAATTTTTATTTTTTTCAAAGCGAATTCACGGATTAAAACTAGTTGGTAGTAAAAGTGTGGCATAAATAATTAATGGCTGATTGCTGATTTCCTGTGTAAAATGAATAAACTACAACATTAAGAAGAAATACTTTTATTAAGCATATTTATTTAAATATTGGTCTATATAATGGACTTAATGTGAATAATTAATTATTAACACAGATTGGTTTAACAGGAAAATATGCGTGGAGAATAAAGTGGACCATCGCAAGTGACAGACGCAATCTCCGTTAAAATCTTGGCACAAACACAAAGTATAGCAGCATATACAATCAATACAAACCAGTTCAACGCAACAAGTTCAACAAAATTTAGCCAGACAAAATGGGAGAAAAGGATTTCTATTCTGAGAAAGATAGGACATCTAATCCTCATTATCCATCCCTGCAGGCGGGTCCCTCTTCGGACCTCCAGCTGGTTTTGACATAATGATCTGCACGAGATAAAGAACAAACAATTAACCTTTTATACACAAGAAACAATTCCTACCAACATGCAGTATTTGTTTGAGTGCAACACAGATTGTTGAGCGAACAGATGATGAGCAAAGTGTAAAGTCAAAGACCAACGTGCGCTCATAAACGAAAATATTCATGCTTAATGAACGCCATAACAAATCCAATTTCTTATCAATATAAAATTGAAAATGACATAAAGCTGTAACTGATGGCTGATTACCTGATCAACCCGCAGAACAGTACATGCAGCATCCGTTGCATACTTAAGAGCAAAGAATCTGCCAAAAGCACAATAGACATAAAAGGCAATTGTAAACCGAAAGTGCACCTATACTGCCATTAGCATTATACTGGAATTTTTAATAATATGCCTAATGCTGCCCATTTTGAAATATTCTAATGAGCTGAGTATCATCCATCACAATCCATTTCCTTTATTCAAATAGATATCTTAACCAACTCCTAAAAGAATAAATACAGTAGTAACAGATTTAAGAGCTTTATGGATTAAAATGAACAGATAAGGTAGGGGAGTTAAGATGTGATACAGTAGAGGCAGAGTGTAACAGGTCGGTTTATGAAATTCACATGCATTTATAACCAACAAAAAAACCACCAAGAAATATTTTACGCAACAAAAGACAAGACAATCGAAAAAATATCATATTAATCCACATTCACAAGAAGCTACATACTTGGTGATGTGGAGATCCCATATTTTCATGGTAGAGACATCCTTGCAGACACCTTCCTCCAAGTCAATGCCCACTTTGGTGTTACCCAGTGCGTGTTCGGCATATAAAGAAGAGATAATTTCTATTGCATTAAGTCCCGCATTCTCAGCCAATGTCTTGGGTATCATTTCAAAACTTTCAGCAAATTTTGCGATGGCATACTGATCCAATCTGGAATATAACATCAACTTTGTCTTAGGCACACAAGATTCAATTATACTGTATGAAGAAAAGAAAGAATAAAAAAGGAAAGAATGACTCAAAAAGGAAATGGTGCATGATTAGTGAAAATCATATACTGTAAAAAAAGACATGAAATAAATACCCTGTTTCTTTGAAAGAAAATTCCTTCAGCCTTCTGGCTAAATCAATTTCAGTAGCTGCTGCTCCAGGTACAATCCGACTATCCCTGCACATTGCCTGGGAGAGAATAACATAATAACGACAATGATATCCTCGACCACCAGATTATAAAACTAGATTTCAAGCTTGGACAATGCAACATCTGAAAATCCGCACCAAGTGGAAACCAACAAAATTCATAAGAATATATACCTTGTATGTATTCACTCCATCATCTATCGCTCTTTCAAGGTCATCCAATATGCTATCAGTGCTTCCTCGCAGCACAACAGTGGAAACTGAATTTCCACCTTGTTCATTTTTTACAATTGTGACCTATTAAACATAAAAAAAAAAAAAAAAAAAAA